GACCCGGGGCAGCCCCTGCCTGGGATCATGGCACATGCCGGTGCCGACCTCGAGCGTGCGGCGCATGCTTGGCCACGCCCCCAGTCACGTGGCCTGTGAGTGGCCCCGCACCCAGCAGCCCCGAAAGGTTGGGGACCACTGCTATAGAGCTTTATGCTTTGCTGCCTCAAGCCATTGAGTTCTGATTTTTTTTTCAAATATCTGAAAGGGTGTCACAAGCAGGAGGGAGAAAAATTGTTCTCCTTGGTCTCTGATGATAGGACAAGAAGCAATGGGCTTAAACTGAAGCAAAGGAGGTTTAGGTTGGACATTAGGAAAAACTTCCTAACTGTCAGGGTGGTTAAACACTGGAATTAATTGCCTAGGGAGGTTGTTGAATCTCCATCATTGGAGATATTTAAGAGCTGGTTAGACAGACATCTGTCAGGGATGATCAGATGGTGCTTGATCCTGCCATGATGGCAGGGGACTCGACCTGATGACCTCTTGAAGTCCCTTTCAGTTTTACTGTTGTGTGATTCTATATATGTTATTATAAGCTAATATGTACCTCTATAGGATTTTGCTGAGTCATTTCCCACAGGAAGTGGCATTTAACAGTGTGTTACAAAATGAAAAGTTATTACAATGGACCTCTATGTGCTCTTAACATGCAATATTCTGGTATTCCATCACCCTATATTTACTATTATTGGATTTCCTCATTTAACTACTATTAATTTCTAATTAAAACTATAGTCTTAAAATGAATCAGTATTCCATGCTTGTGAAATAATTCTGATACTATCTGCACTTATATTCTGTGCAATCAAGCAAACTACAACTTCTCTGATTTTAAACCCCAAGGTTTTTATGCAAATTTCCAATTTAAAGCGTCAGAAGTCATTTCAGGCACATGAGGCACAATGTCTCATCACTGGTAGACTTCCATAATTAGATGCTCTCTAGATATCTTTGCCATATACATGAAGAAACATAATATTGAAAAACACACCCATCAACAGAGTAAGTTTAGTTTAAAATGTGCCTTTAATGTTTATTTAACATAGTCAATATTCAGCAACAGAAAGAATATTTGTGAGATATTTTAGTCAGTCTGTTTAATAATTACTTCAATGGCTTCTATTTTACAGTCTCATGCATAATGGGAATTATAAATCAAATGAAAGATAAAGATTCAAATCTGTCATTAAACTCAGGTATTAACTCTGAAACATTAGAGGAAAGGAAGTTGTACAACAATCTCCTATTCACAGTCCTGGACATGCAGGAAGATTGACAATATGCAATCAATATTGTTTAATTAGTCTGTATGTCGATTAACTCATCTGCTACCTATCCAGGGGCAATAGAATCATAGGGTTAGAAGAGTCATCTAGTCTAACCACTGTAAATAACAGGATTTGTTATGTTTAAAGCAGGGGTGAGAAATAAGCAGCCCATGGACCAAAAGTGGTTTGGCACAGTTAGCCTCTGGTGGGCTACCAGATGCGTTATTTACCTGAGCATCCAAAAGTATGACCAGTCTCAGCTCCCATTGAGCATGATTTGCAATTCCCAACCAATGGGAACTATAGGAAGCACTGCAGGGCAGGCTACCACTTCCCACAGCTCGCATTGGCTGGGAATGGGGAACTATAGCCAAAGGGAACTGCAAGCAGCATCTGCAGATGCTCAGGTAAATAAAGCATCTGGTGGCCTGCCATTGGCTAACCCTCCTGAACTGCATCTAACCTGTGGGCTTATTGACCACCCCTGATGTCAAGGCTGTTTCCCACTCTGCTGCTTCAAGTGCAGAAGGTGGGGGCCCTGCAAGAGACCTTAAAATACTTCCCTCTATAGGCTTCTGCTTACAAACACTCTCCAAGGTCACAGATTTCCTGCCCTAGGGAGGAATCTGACACCATCAAGTGTAAAAGCAAAATCCCTTCTTCTGAAACCCAGGATGAACCATTTGAAGTTCTTCCAGAGGGGTACCCTCCTCCCCCCCCCAGCTCTTTTATCACAAGACAACTTGAGGAAAACAGAAAACAAACTGCAATCTTTGATAGCTGATCTCTTACTGACCTCTTAGTCTTAGGCACTCATTCACAGACCTCCTGCTGCTTTCCAGGACGTAGGAATCAAATCACCTTAAAAATGTGATTTTTATTAACAAAACAAAAAATATACTTGATATAGCATATTTGGTTGCTAGGTGCTACAGGGCAACCGAGTAAAAACAAACAAACAAACAAAAACCCCAGAGATACAGATATATTGATTGAGTTAGGGGGCACACATAGATTTAGCAAAGAGAAGTTTAACCAAACAATGAATCAAAGAAAAATAACCTGATTGGGACTAAATATACATTTCTCTATATACTCACAATCCGTACTGGTCCATACTTCAAGGTCCAGTCCATTCCCATGCCCAATATTCCTTGTAGGCAAGGTAGTTATATCTGATTACTTAATTTTGTTTCCCCCAGCTCCTAGCTTAGAACTGAGACAAAGGAAAAAAAGCAAGCAGCTTTATCTTTCAATTTAAATTTCAACATCTTCTGTCATTGGCTTTCCTGGCTTTCTGTCAACACCCCATAGCTACCATAGTTTAACCCCTTATTCATCACACCTGGTCTCAACCATGGGTACTGCTAGACTGCAGGAGGTTTTCGGGATTCCAGAGGTATCCCAAAAAATCTCCTCCGTATCCAGGGAACACGTTTGCAAACATGCTCTTTTGGAAGCCCCTGTATTCCTCATTCTACAAGGAAGAAGGGGGCTTCCAAAAGAGGGTTTTTTTCTGACACTTTCCAAGTCTAGATGGGCCAAATATTGGAAAAGCTTCTTCTGACAAAATAATTGGAAAAAGGTTCGCAAAATGCAGAGGGCATTTTGCATACTTTTTTCTGACAAAAATTTGTAGTCTAGCTGAACCCCACATAGCTATCCAGCTTCTATTTGAAAACCTGGGAAGAATTTCCACAACTTCAAAAAAAAAATCTGTCTTATTGTTCTAAGTTTTTCTTTGAGATTTCATCTAAAGCTGCTATGCAGATGCCATCGCATCTGTTCTACCCTTTGAAACAGAAACACCCCCCCCCCCAGCTCCCTTCTACCCCAAGCTATTCATAGTTATTCCTAGCCCATGACTGTATGACTGTACCACACTGCCATCCCCTATGGGAGAATTAAGGGACTAGTGAAAGGGAGTTTCCCCTTTGTTTACCAAATATTATGAGCCACAACCACATTCCTCAACACTCTTTACAGGATACCTTCCCTTAAATCAATTTCCAACGCTGGGAGCCCAGCCCATGTAGAACGAAGTACCAGTACTGTCTCCAGCTAAGTATTTTTCATCTAACCCCACAGAGTCCATGACCTGCTCCATGGAAAGGAAAACAAAACAAATCAAAACAAAACCCCAAGAAACCACCACCAACAAAAAAACACACACTGTGCTCCAGCCAAGCTACCCCAGTGAAGGAAAAATCCATTACTAGTTTCCATACCCACAATGGACCAAAAACCTGGTCCAATTCCAAGCATGAGATAGGACAGAGTATGTATATATTACATTTACCACACACATGCAATCAGGGAGCCAATGGCTTATCTGAGCCTCTAAAGCAAGCCACTGATTGAGAAAATACACCTTTTTTCCTTCTCCCCTGCCATCTTCAGATTCAAAGGGGGACTCTTAGACTATCCATAACCCTTCTGGCCTCACTTGACCAGACCAAGGCTACCTTCCCCACCTTGCCAACACTGAGGCTGCTAGGGTTGCGATGTGTTAATTACAAGAATGGGTTACCTAGGGAAGTAGTGGAGTCTCCATTCCTAGAGGTGTTTAAGTCTCGGCTTTACAAATCCCTGGCCGGATTGAATTAGTTGGGATTAGTCCTGCCTAGAGCAGGGGACTGGACTTGATGACCTTCTGAGGTCTCTTCCAGCTCTATGATAAGACCATAGGAATAGACTAGGACAGCTTTGCTTTGGAAAGGAAATTTTATTTAGTTTTAGTGAGAGTAGAAAACTGCATCAACATTAACAACCAAGGATCAGCAATCAAACATAAGACTCCATAACTACAATTCTCAGTGTTTTCTTTTCATGTATCCCTTGTTGCCTGAGAAGAGCAAAGAGTGAGAGACAATAAGAATTACCCCCAATAAGAAGGGTTGGAGAATTGATCCCTTATTTACTAAATTATTGTTGCATATCTGTGAGTGTTTATATACACTCTGTTCTTAATATTGTGGCAGGGTCAGGCCAGAGGGGTACAAGAAAATGAGAAAGGGAGGTTTATTAGCCTTAGATTGAGTAAATCTCTGTTCCCAGGGTAAAATGGCAGGGCTAGTTCAGAACTAGGGGAACTTGCCAGAATCAATAAGGGTAATTAAGCACCTGGAGCTAATTAAGTAGGCTTCCAGAATCAAGTGAGTCAAGGCTAGTTGGAACACCTGGGGCCAATTAAAGAACCAGTTGAGACCAGTTGAAAAGAGCTTCTGCAGTTAGTTAGCACATGGGAAGCTGAGGGTCCTCCACAGAGGATGTGGAAAGGACAAGCGGGAGGAAGGTCCTGTGATAAGAAAGATACTAGGGAAAGGTGTGAGGAAGTAGCCCAGCAGTTTTGTAGGGGTCTGCAGCTGGTGTTGGAGACACTTAAAAGCAGCTGCCTTTACAAGCCCTGAACTGAAACCTGCAGTAGAGGGAGGGTCCAGGTTCCTCCTACTTCCCCATTTCCATTTGATAACAAGACTGGCTGGGGAAAATAAGGAGCTTACCCAGCTTTGTATTATTTGGGGTAGGGTGGAGGCCACCAAGACTATGGAGGCTGATTTCCCTCTTTACCTCATGCTGGCAATGATGATAATAGCTCAGGAAGCAGATGACTTAGGTTCAGTGCCTAAACTGAGGGCTGCTGTGAGCCTCTGAGGCAAGCAATCCACCTGAAAACGCAGGACCCACCAATCTGACTAGGAAGTTTGTCACAATATGCATAAATGAAGTTCTTTGTATTACTTTGTAATTATGAAGTGTTATTTTTCCATTTCCTGCCACCATAGCTTTGTTGCATTCAGAAATTGTTATTTCTAATCTTAGCTATTAATAAGTAGTTGGATAGGTTTTACTTCTGCTCTTTCAATTTCCTCCTGTCACAGTTCCCTCCATGGGCCCTTCATGAGGGCACCCCCAACTTTTACCTCAGTCCTCTGTTACATT